GACATTTCCATATCGTTAAAGTCGTTAAAAATAAAACAGCGTAAATTTATTTGAATTTCAAGCTAATCCTTCGTAGTGTAGTGGTTTAGGCACCCGTATTGTGTGCGCCAAGTTCTGGGATCGATCCTGCTCGCGCCACTATTTTATTATTTTTTTTTGTACTTTTTTTTTCTTCGTGATTTTCGCTTACGCACCGCGTACGAAACGTATAGCGTATCGAATATGTTGTTGCTTCGATTAATTGATTAACAATGTTGGTATTCGTTTTTATCATATATGTTTCATCGACATAGCGTTTATTGAATCGAGATATGAACGAAACATCCATATAGAACGTGCACGTTCTTCGCGTAATGGTACCTGCTGAGAAAGAACATTCATTATTTGTATAATATTATGCAAATACTTCCACTTTCTTGTGCAAACTCTGCAGTGTAAAACTCTGCTTACTTCATACTAAAATAAACCAAAATGGCAACATCTCAACAAGAGCTGGACTGGCAATCGACGAAGAAGACGGTGTTAGAACGAAGTCGTCATATGTTTAATAATCCGTTCATGAGCGACATCGCGTTCAGTTGTGAAGGCTCCGACAAGAAATTCTTCGCACATAAATATGTCCTCGCCACAAGTAGTGCTGTATTTTATGCGATGTTTTACGGCGAGCTGGCGGAGAAGAATTCAGTTGTTCATCTGAGCGATACTGACGAGGAAAGTCTGGAGGAATTTCTACGATTTCTTTACACGGACGAGTGTAACTTGACAACAGATAATGCCCTGTTTGTGTTGTACTTGGCCAAGAAGTATATCGTGCCCTCTGTGACGATTTCTATCGCCGACGTGGGCGCTGCAGTTCACAATAACACAAGTCAATAAAACCCACTGTACTACAATTAACATAAAGGTTTTAATTCTGTAATTACTAAGAGTTATCTAATTTCCTAAAGTATTTTTTTTAACAAACCCGAGTCCAACAGAGTGTAGCTACGTCTTCTTTCTTCAGCTAGCCCACAGCGCTTAACTTTCCGCGTAGTATCAAACATATAGCAGCGTCGTATCTTGTTTGTTGAGAATTTCAACGGATATATCTTATGAACACAAGCGTGACGAAACTTGCTAACAATCTGAATATTCTTAAATCGCTTCGAGATGTTTTCTGTCGATCTCAAATGAACTTGAGCGTATATAGTCAGCGAACTTCAGTATACTTCCAACAAAAGCAAGATGTCCTTCCAAGTTGTTCTTCTCCTGAAGGTCTTCGTCGGGTTTTTTTTTTTAATATTTAGGAACTCCTTCCTTGCTTGTCCTGTTTTTCCTCTGCTCGCTTCAAACTCTGGGCTCCTTATATAATCCATTAATTTACATATTCATAAAATATAATTATAATTATAATACAGCTATTCTTTTATCACACCTTCCCGCCAAAGATCATATTACAACTGTAATTGATCCAATGCTGTTACAAAATCTGACGAGTACACATACACCAGCAACAACTCCCAAACCGGTCGGAGAGGAGCAGCCAGGCGAAAAATACCCATCGGCAGGGAAGGTTCCTACACTCCCACGGGACTTTACTCAATTCTACTTAACGCATCTGCGTCCACATTCTTTTCCCCCGCCTTATGCTCATACTCTATCTCATACTCCTGAAGAGTCAAACTCCACCGCCGCAACTTACGATTTTTATCCTTTACTTGGTTTAGCCAAACTAAAGGGTTATGATCCGTTTGCAGTTTAAACTTCCTACCAAAAAGGTAATATCGGAAAGTTTCAACAGCCCAAACAATTGCCAAACACTCCTTCTCAATCGTCGCTAACTTCAACTATAATTACTCTCGCTCAGAAATGTTTTGAATATTTTGACGCCAACTTCGCAGCAGAAAATGTTTTCATACTTTTACAGCAAGCAATTCAATTTGACGAAAACAAACTTGAGGAGAAATGCTGGGATTTTATAGATTTGAACACAAGCGAAGCTGTCGTTTCTGATGGATTTTGTGACATTAATCAAGCAACTTTAGTAGAGTTAGTGAAGCGAGAACCGTTGAACGTCGAAGAGGTTGATCTTTTCAAAGCAGTTTTAAAATGGAGCGAAGCGGAATGCTCAAGAAAGGGAATAGAAGCGAATGCAAAGAACAAACGAGCCGCCATGGGAAATGCAATCTATCAAATACGTTTTGCTTCTATGACCCTTCAAGATTTGGCCCAGAATGCTTCCCAGTCGGGTGTACTTACACCAGAAGAAATTCTTTTATTCTTTGAGAAATTAGGCGGAGTAGACAGAACGTCCGAAGTATGGAATATGTCAGAAACAAGAGCAAAAAAAAAATTAGATATCTTTCTAACACTATTTGATCAATTTGATTGGAAAGCTTTGGAACAATCCAGATCATAGTGATCACGTGGGAGGACGCACTGCAAGTTGTAACAAACCTGCAGCAGATTTGTAACAATGCTGTTCCAACAATTTGTCACCAGGATGTGTTCACACTGCTTGTTGACAAGTTATCAACGGCGTGTTGACAACTTGCTACAAGGCTGTTGAGCTCAACAAACTTGTTACAATGTTTGTGATGTTACTCTGAGTGTATATCCACACCGGGCAACCGAGAACGAGTAGATCAGGATATGTCCAAATGTTGCTATTAAATTCTTCCGATATGCCATGGCTTCGACGAAAAATTCTAAAAGATTAAGCTCTCGTTGCATGTAGAAAAGTATAGCGAAGTTACATGTATAAACGTTTCGAAGTTTGGGCGAACTGGAAATTCATATCGGCGCAATTAAAATTTTCTCGGGTTTTATTTGTGTTGTGTTTAGCTACATTCAAGACAAAAGTCAGAAGTCGTTGCTTAAACAACAAATTAGTTTACTTTGAAACTAATATTTCGCTTTCTACGCCACAGTATTATATCAAATTTTCTGTCTTCTGAGTTCTGTTGTCTTAAAGATATATATCTGTCAAAAGTTCAAATTTCAGCGAAATATATTCTGCATTTGATGCTGTCGCCACTAGATTAATACAGTATGCCCTCGAGTGTGCTATCCTGTCCACGTTTTAAGTATAACCGAACATCTTTAATATCCGAATCTGATAATTAATGCATGGCGCATTTTATTTCCTGGAGAAGTATCAATGTCTTTAAGTTCAATTTATGTGCATTTTTGACCAAAATTCAACCGACGACTGCTTTGAAAATATAAAAATATTTATGTACTATTTATTCCGCTCGTAAATCAATTTCGAAATATAGAAGGTTCGCTGTGATTGGTCGATCGGAGGGAATGGAATGTGCAGCTCGTTTCAGCAGACGTTAAGCCTGCCGCACACGAGAGCTATCTGCTGAGCAAAAAGTTACTCGTGCCTGTTAGCTCAGCCGATAGCTCACCGTGTGCGCGTACATTTTACTGAGTTTTTTGCCTCATGCAACCTTTTCTCACGTATCAAACATGTTTGATCGGTGAGCTATCAGCTGAGCTAACAGGCACGAGTAACTTTTTGCTCAGCAGATAGCTCTCGTGTGCGGCAGGCTTTAGTTAGCGAGGGTTAGAGCTATACAGGGTGTCCCAAAAAAAACGAAAACTATTGAAATCACCAATAACAATTTAATTGTTAGAATTTGAATGCCTTAGCGCTCTGTTGGTTCCCACAAGTGCTAAATGATTGACATAAGTAAATTTTATGCATAAAGAAACTGTTTAAGAAGCTGTTTTAAAATCGCGCACTTTACCAGGAGATATTCCTAACTAAATTCTAATACATGCACCTTGTCAATATTTTACGCATCATTACGTCCAGCTGTTTGGTAGGGCATTCAAATTTAACAATAAGTGATTTCAATAGTTTTCGGGTTTTTTTGGGACACCCTGTGTAAAGGCGGATTTCCATTCAGCGGAAAAAGTCGCGCGATCGACTTTTTGCGACCGCTTTCTTTTCAAATACAAGCAATCAAGCGCAACGGATCAGGTTGTATCCCTAGCAACAAAAGCTTGTTCATATTATTTTGTACTATTTACACTGACACAGACAGTCTAGAACAAATGCATTTGATTGTTAATAGCGACCTTACGCATGTAGGATGGGGATGCGATGGCAAACAAACTCGTTGAACCAAACGATTGCAGAAGAAAACCTGTTGTCTATTATCTATCGTATGAAAATAATTAACACAGGGTTTATTTTTGAGAAACGTTCTACAGGGTGTCTCAAAAAACCCCAAAATCATTGAAATTGACGTATTGTTCGATATTCAATGCCCTAGCACTAAGTTAATCCCACGAGTGCATAAAAGATTGACATAACTGCTATAATGAATGGTAATACTCAGCGTAAACTTGTTATGTCAGGCATAAAGTACTAAACCCACGAATGCATATTACGCATATTACAATTGAGCAAACAAACGTTCACTTTACAAAGATATTTTAATTTTTTAAAACAAATTAATCACCCTGTCAAAATCCTTTGTGTTACGGCATTGAAATTCGAACAATACGTTATTTCAATGATTTTGGTTTTTTTTGAGACACCCTGTATAGGGCCAAATTGAAAGCAGCAGTTGTCCGAGATTGAAACGTATGCGTTGTGCACAAGACGTGATGATCTGTATCTTGCCGTTCTATAAAACAGAGCAACGGCAACGTCTAAAACGTCTGTGTGATTTTAAATGTAAATTTCTGCTCATTTTGTTCACTTAAAATTATGATAATATAACATAATTGATCAAAAACTTCATATATGAAAAGTTGTAATAGCAGACAAGACTGGAAAACACCTTAAATTGATGTTGCTCTGATACGAATCCGGTACACCGGACGCGATTTGACAATTTTGACTTTGATCCTAGTTTAAATTTTACAAATATTTAGAAGCGCTATAACATTTCGAGTTATTTGGTCTACATATCTTTTAAAATTTACTCTCACTGGCTGTTTTAGTAACTTTCAAAAACTAAAAAATCGCGTCACGTTGTCGAATCGCGTCCGGTATGTCTGGACCTTAACTTAAGCCTTGCTTAAAGTTTGCTAATGACGATGGCAGCCGTAATTGAAGTCAAAATTTCGACATCATGCTCTCAATTTTCTCTGTGACTACGTTTTAGATAACATCCATGGCTTGGTACCCGAAATTGCATTGCCAGTTGCAGCAAAATTGCCTCATATAACTTACCGTACACATGCAAAAACGCACAAGTTGTAACAAACCTGCAGCAGACTTGTAGCAATGCTGTTCCAACAACTTGTCAACAGGATGTGTTCGCACTGCTTGTTCCCAGCTTGTTGACAAGTTGTCAATGGCTTGTTGACAACTTGCTACAAGGTTGTTGAGCTCAACAGACTTGTTACAAGTTGTTCCAACAACTTGTTATCGTCCTGCAATTCAACAATTTGTCAACAAGTTGTGAGTGACAACCTTGTAGCAACTTGATAAAATAACAGCATTGTTACAACTTGTTGACAAGCTTGCTGCAAGCCTGTTGCGAACACATCTTGTTGACAAGTTGTGAAACTTTTACGTGTGTAGCTTAACACGTGTAAAAACATACAAGTCGTAGGTTGTTGTCAAGCCGATAACAGGATGTGTTCGCACTGCTTGTTCCCAGTTGTTGTGACAAGTCTGGAACATAGATATCTTATATACACTAGATAGTGCATCTAATTATTCTGCAATTCAAAAATTGAAGCCGTAATTGACCATTTGCGTAATAGACTAAATTTTGATCTAAACAAGTCTAGACAAAAATTTCATCACAGCTTGAAAGAGCATCACAAAATTAGTAATATTCCGAAGTTTCGTTGCGAAATGTTGTAAAATGCGGAAAATATAGCCTTGCAAAGTTTGCAATTTTCAGTCATTTTAGATTACAAACGGGAAATTGACAGCCTCAAAGGGTGTTGGGGCTGTCAATTTCCCGTTTGTAATCTAAAATGACTGAAAGTTGCAAAATTTGCAAGGCTATATTTTCCGCATTTTACAACATTTCGCAACGAAACTTTGGAATATTCCTAATTTTGTGATGCTCTTTCAAGCTGTGATGAAATTTTTGTTTAGATCAAAATTTAGTCTATTACGCAAGTGGTCAATTGCAGTCTCAGGTCGTTCCCATGAAATGAGAAGATTCGTATGTTTTCTATTTCTTAAACAGGGAACTTAAACATTAAGTTAACCCTATTCCAAATACGTTTTTAAACTATACAAATGATGAAAGTTATTGTTGTTTTTTAAGCTTTATTAGCGAGTGGGAAACTCCAACATGGCCGCCATCTATTCAAATGGGGGTATTCTTGGCTTCAATTTTACTATAAGAGATGCGCTATCTAGTCTATATAAGATATCTATGGTCTGGAACAAGTTGTTATCACCTTGTTACAAGGTTGATGACGGTAACAGACTTGCTACAAGTTTGTTCCAACAAGATTAATACAGGCTCTTCGTAACAATTTGCTGCGAGCTTGTTGTCATCAACTTGTTTTAACAAACAACTTGTTACGTGCAGACGATATCAGACTTGTTGGAACAATTTGTTGCGAGCCTGTTGGCCTCGTCAACCTTGTTACAAGTTGATAACAACTTGTTCCAGACTTGTCAACAACTGGGAACAAGCAGTGCGAATACATGTGGTGAGATTTTTGCATGTGTAGGTTGAAATTGGCCTTCACAGTGTACTTTTTACTTTCTTCCCCAGGTACAGTTACATGATCGACAACATAATTCTATTGATAACTGGCACCCTTCATGAGAGGACAATTACAGAACTCATACCAAAATGTCATCCACTTGGAAGTTTTGAAGAAATGGCTTCCATCAACATTGCTTCCACGCCTGTCGAGCTGTACAATGCTGTCTTGGTTGATACACCACTAGGTAAAAAACTGTTTATCTCTCTTCAACATGACATCATAAAGCAGGGCTTTCAGAATTATTCTGAGTAGGTGACTGTGTTGATAAAATAGGTGGCTGTGGGGACCGGTCTAGGGAGTCTTAGGGCCTGTTCATATGGGCAAAAGTTATCCCGGTTAGCGAGAAAACTTTTCGACAAGTTTACATGCGAGATCTCGCCTTGTTATGAAAATAATATGAAAAGCTACACTTTCATATAAGACAAAAAGTTTTTCCGTGTACCGAGATCTCGTTTGATGACAGGCGAGATCCCGGTGACCGTGATGTTTTTCCCATATGAACACAACTTTCCCGCTTAGCGGGATAACTTTCTGTCGTGTCAGCAACTTTTCAATTCAATTGATGTTCAGTGCTACGTCACACCCGGGAACTTTTCCCGGTAAGCGGGATAACGTTTCTACATATGAACAGAACAAAATTATTTGGCTAATCGAAACGTTTTCTCATTAACCGGGATAACTTTTGCCCATATGAACAGGCCCTTAGGGGAATAGGCTAGTGAGAAAACTTTTCGACAAGTTTACAAGCGAGATCTCGAGGTTTCAAAATAAAGGCCTGTTGATGACCAAAGTTGCATGATGCCATATTTCACTTTGAGAAATGGCAGGCAAAAAGTTTTTTGAATATTCGAGTCAAAAATAACATACTAGGTGAAATTCTACAGATTGTTGCAAGCAAGTTAAATGTAAAATTGAATTGTGATTGTGAAAAGTGAATCATTATTTTGCTTTCGTAGCTCCGTTCTTTGTGAACTGTATATCTGAGCAAGATTTGGATGAGATGAATGTGGAGCTTATCCGAAATACATTGTATAAGGTAACATCAAATTCTTTGCTCATTTTGTTGGAATGACAGGCTGTTTCATTCACTATCAAACTCTGGACCGTATAACATGGTCACATGATTGTGATTGGAACTGTTCTGAATACTCTAAAGGCCGTTTCGCACTTCAAGCGTATCGTAATGGAAACGTAGTGTATTTCCATAGGCAGCCCATTGCTATGGTTGCCTGCGCGCGGGCGTGGCATAGTCACAGATTAAGTAAGGACAAATGTATAACTTCGGTAAAAAAGTTGTCCCATGGTCGCCATCTTCCTAACAAGTGTCGCTCGCGTGATTATTCGTCATTTGGTAATACGTCGTTGCTTTCAAAAATGATTTCAACACCTTTTCTACAACTTTAATTACGTTTAAAAACTTTAAACATTCAACAAATGATGCTCTTGATTGCGCAATCCATAAATTTCGATCCAAAAAGGCCGCAATAAAATGCAAAAGTTCATGTTTTTCAGGACGCCATTTTGCTAGCAAGTGTCATGGCGTGAGCATGACGTGTACATCTAGGGAAATTTGAGGACACGAAATCCTATTAAGTTACACATCTGGGGCCGATTGTACGAAGGGCGGATAGTGATTTTTTCAACCTTTGTAAAATGCTTGAAAAACTGTGAAACGACGGATATAGACGACACAAGAAGTATAAAAAAACATTCAACTTATAAATACTAAACTTTGATACGAGTTATACCAATCAACGACTGATTTAACAAAGCTTGAAAAAATCACTATCCGGTCGATAGCGCTATCCGGCCTTCGTACAACCGACCCCTGGTATATACTTCATCTGTGGCATAGTATAGTTGTATTATTTCCTATAGTAAATACAACTATACTATGCCTCGCCTGCGCGCAGGCAACCATAACATTGGACTGCCTATGGTGCAGGTTTTTTTTGTCAGTTCCTGAGTACTAGAATGAAGCTAAGTTTGCACGCTGCGATTTGTCGTGTACGAATCGTATTCTGGCGTATGAAATTTACTGCTGACGCCACAGTACACTCTTTCGATAATTACGTCACAACTATACTGTTTTCAACTTAGGACCACCTTAAATGGAAAGGATTTCAAGTTTTTTTTCTCATGGGCTATGCACAGAGAAACAGAACATCCTTCTTCAACACATGCATGGAAAAAAAATTTGATTTTGTCCAATAAATATGGAAATAAGCATTAACACGAAAACGATGCTCCAGGTCATGAGCATCGTTTTCGTGTTAACGCTTATTTCCACATTTATTGGTCAAAATAAAGAATTATTTTTCATGCATGCGTTGAAGAAGGATGTTCTGCTTCTCTGTGCATAGCCAGTGAGTCAGCCAGTGAGCATAGTCACACTATTGCGTATCGTACTAACGTATGCCAGCGTATGAAAAATATCACGCGTACGCCGGTATACGCTGACATACGCTAGGGGTACGTTAGGCATAGGTTGTATACGTTACAAGCACGGTCGCATACGGTGGCATACGCCGAGGCAGAAAATTTTTTTTAAGCATGTTCAAAAATTTTGTGCGTATCGGACGTATGCTTTATACGATAAACATACTCTAGGCACACGCTCAGTACGCTAGAGGTACGCCAGATGTACGGTACTCATACGCTGGCATTTCAAAGGATTTTTGTGCGTATGAAAATTATTTCATTGATTTTCATACTCTTCTCATACGTTTCTCTCATACGCAATAGTGTGACAGGGCCTTAAGGTGGTCTTAAGTTGAAAACAGTGTAGTTGTGACGTAATTATCGAAAGAGTGTATTCCTCTTAATAATAATAGCTTTATTCATCCATCTTAAGATAAAAAAGTACAATGGACTTACAATTACTTGTTTAAGAAAGTATATATGCTGTGGGTATGTCTTTATATTACAAATTGTTGTAAGATAACTTAGAAAACTAACTAAGAAGTTAAAACTAATAAGTTCTTTAAACTAATAAGTTCTTCCAATAAGTTAAAATTATTTATACATATTTACAAGCTCTTCCTGAAAAAGAATGTTTATGCCTTTCAGTTCCTGAGAAGAATGATATATTGCGATTCCGGTCAATGTTCCTTAAATAGTACCGATTGTTAATTAATTCTGGCAAAACACTGCGACAGGGATGGTTTGGATCGTTCATAAACCTATCAACTTCTCGACTAGTTGCCTCTTCCCTTCTTTCGTTCAGCGGTGGTAGGTAATCTTTTTCCAGGCCAAGGATTCTTAAGCTCCTGGATTGAACCCGCTCTATTTCATCTCGCAGGTACTTAGGC